TTCATTTGTGTAGCACGTGTCACACACAAGGGCAACTGAAAGTGCTTTAAATAGTATAAAAATGTTTAAAAGAAAGAAAAATGTGCTTAAAAAGAAAGAAAATTACAGAAAGACATTTTTTCTCAACTTGAGAAAAAAAAATTAAATAAAAAAGGAGAACAAATTTAAAGATACAGTATAAAATAAATAAAAATGCAGTACAAGCACAGACTGGTTTACCTCAGAATATATGAAATATGTAAAAGTATCACACTCATCAACAGCAATGGGAAAAAAACACAAATCTAAGTTCAGAGGGGAGGTGATCCCAGCAGAGGGAGCTAAAAACCATTTCACCATGTTTGGTTTGATCTCTGGGCACCACTAACTGAAAAGTCCCTGCACATCTGAGGGAGACCAACCAGCAGCATATCTCTGGTGTATGTTGAACCCTGACTACTGCGAGACTTACAGAGAACAAGTTGGGTCTTAAATTCAATTCCATGCTTAACTGTCACAAGTTAAGGAAGCAAGACTTGAGTTTAGTGGTTTTATTTTGAAGGAAAGTAAGGAGTGGATTTCTGTTTGCTTTTAAGATGTCAAGGAGAATTTGGCTGAATAAAAAAAAAAAAAAAGATTTGATTTTGACATTTTTCATTTTCTCTGGGTCAATCAATGATTGTCACAAATTACTGGGATTAAGGTAACAAGGCAGGCTTGCAGTATTACAAAGTCTATAACACATCATGCTTTATGTGACGATTATTATACAAATGTTCGTATCTTATATGTATGAATGAAGCATTTTTTATCCACAAATACTTTGACAACAAAGACAGCTTTGGACTACATTCGGTGAAGTTCAAAAATGTGTTTGCACAGTGAAAAATGAACCCTTAAGCTCACATTTATAAAAAACTAATGTTTGTTAATATCTTTGACATGTGAGTTTTCGCCACAGTTGTCGTACAGCATCACCTCAGCACCACAGGTTTCCACAAAAACCAATAGTTTATTTAAGAAGCGTCGAAAATTTTTGCATTGTCTTCACTATCAGCGTTTGGTGGCAGAACCATGATGTCTTAATGTCCTATATGTGTCTGTCTGTGAAGGCATTACAGAACTCAAGCAAAGCCGTTAAACTGGAGTCAGAGCTCAGTTACCTTCAGTTTGTTTCTGGACACACCTGGATGTTGGTTGAGAGCAGTGGCAGCTAGACTTAAGAATTTCTTTGTGATAGGACAATGGTGTGAAGTTGTTAGCTGTACCTTGACATGTTCCATCTGTCGCCTTCTTCAGAAGTGTCATCTGACGTGTGTGACGTGTCTTTATCAGCTGTTGTTCCTGGGTGTGGCCAATCTGACAGATCCAGTGGGTGTGTCAGTTTGTCCACACCTACCGCCGCGCGGTGGTCTCTGGAGCAGAGCGTCCCAGGTGTGGGATAGAAGGAA